CACCTTTTTTTGAATTTTCTTCCTTTTCAACGGCGTTTTTTGGGAATTTCGGATTTTTTTTGAATTTTTTCGCAATAATATTCGGAAAATAGATAACTTTTAACACATTTTAATGCAATAAAAATTTTTGGTCGGAGTCCCCCTTTAATGAAAAATATATGAAACTGCAGAAATTTGAATTTTTATAGTTAGAAACGATTCTAAAGGTTTGGAATATTTGATATTTTTTTCTGAAAACTAATTTTCGAATTTCAAAGTTTTTGACTTAAAATATTCCTGAAATTAAAAAAAAAATCTGACTAGATTCCAAAAAAAAAAGTGTCGAAAAGGAGAAAAGAGGGAACGACTGAGAACCTAAATTATAGGATTTACATCCGGATTCCGAAATTTTGTTGGGAGAAATGAAAATTATAGTGTTTGTGTATGTTTTTTTTTTGAGACGGACCACCGATTGGTCAAAAACGAATCAAAAACGGAGCAAAAATCAACCGAAAGTTGACTAGAAACCAACCGAAAAAGGAAGAAAAACAGAGAAAAAGAAAAATCCTTACTAAAAAAGATTTTTACTGGGAAACATCCTTATTAAGAAAATCCTAAATGTTCACAAAATAGAAACATCCTCACTAAGGAATATCCTCACTAAGAAAGCTTCTTACTGAGAAAGATCATCTACTTTATCATTTTTTGGCTCTCAAAACCTGACCAAACACGAAAACTATGATAAAAAATTCATGATACATTGATAAATTGATACAAATAAAAAAGTGACTGATGCGGAAATGTTTAGCTATGCCATCCGGAGCAACACATTGGCCCCCGGCACCATCGGAAGCAGAAACGAAGGAGAAACGAAGCCTTTTAGCAAATAAACGAGACATAAAGATGACTTACTCCGGTTTCTTTGTTTTGAGAATGGGAAAGAAGAAGAAGGTGGGAGAGAAGGGATCTGCTTGATTTGTATCCTATTACTCACTTAATAATGGGAGAAGGAAAACGGTGGAGAGAGAGAAAGGTCAGAAGAGAAAGAAGGATTGATGACCCAAGAAGGAGTCTATTAAATAGTTTGAAATTTTAACTATGACACAAGAATCGAAATTGGAACTAAAAACGGACCACCAATTGGTCGGAAAATTGACCAGAAACGGATGAAAGTCGGTCCAAAGGCGAATGAACATCATAACAAAAATCGACCTGAAACGGACTAAAAACGGACCAAAAATGGACTAAGAACGTACCAAAAACTAACGGAAAATTGGCCATGAACGGATGAAAAACGAACCAAAAATGAACCAAATAGTGTTCTTCACATATGACACCTGCCTTCAAAAAATGGCCCTCCTTACCGTCAACTTTGAGCTCAATTATCTCGGTTCCTGGAATAGATATCAAAAAGATGTTAATTGACAAGATGTTTCTGATGAAATGATAAATATTTTATCAGCTGATAATTGTTTGATATCTTTCACAGAAACCAATATAAATTAGGTCAAAGTTGACAATCAGTAAGTGCCGTATTGTCTCTTATAGAAGCTCACCCGATACGAGCTCTTTGAGCTTAATTATCTCGGTGCCTGGGAAAGTATCAAAAAGTGATCAACTGATAAAATGTTCGTTATATTATCAGAAATATTTTATTAGTTGTATTATTTTTGATATCATCTACAGGAAATGAGCTATGTGGGGGTAAAGTTGACAATCAGTAAGTTCCGTATTGTCTCTTATAGAAGCCTACGTGCATTTTGAGCCAATTAATATTGGTTGCTGGGGAACATATCAAAAAGTGGTCAATTGATAAATTGATTATCATTATATCACCAAAATTTTATTAAATGACTAGTTTTTGATATCTTTTTCAGGAAATGAGATAACTCGGCTCAAATTTAATGGATATTTTTATTAGAGGGTTTAGACATCTTCAATGCAAACTAATTTCAGAACATACTAGAGTGTTATGGTCTTTATTAAAACCAATTTAAAGTGAAAAAAAAAGATTTCAGACTGACTGGAAAATCTGATAAACTCAAGTTTTCCTAGACCGAAAACTTGAGTCTAGGAGCACACACAGAAAGTTTCCCACCTCCGAACACCTCTCTCAATTGTTTAAACAAATTTATATGTCGGAGCACGTTCCCCCCGTGTAAAATACAAGCCGACTGACTTGTTGCCTCACACACTTTTTGAGCCGATGTGCAAATTTTTGGAGATGGTGAATAACCTCGTATGTTTGACAACTTTTTGTCTAGGTGGCCTTCTTTCTACCGGAAGCCTTTATGTTTGTGTGGATTTACGGGGGGAAGGGAGACAGGTGGATTGGTACTTTTGGGAACATTTTGAACCTTCTGGTTTGTAGTTTTGGGATTCTTAGAATTCTGAATTTGAATATTCGAGTTTCTTGGAGATTATGATTTTCTGGAATTCTCTAAATTTCTGAATTTCTGAATTTCTGAATTTCTGCATTTCTGAATTTCTGAATTTCCGAATTTCTGAATTTCTGAATTTCTGAATTTCTGAATTTCTGAATTTCTGAATTTCTGAATTTCTGAATTTCTGAATTTCTGAATTTCTGAATTTCTGAATTTCTGAATTTCTGAATTTCTGAATTTCTGAATTTCTTAATTTCTGAACTTCTGAATTTCTGAATTTCTGAATTTCTGAATTTCTGTATTTCTGAATTTCTGAATTTCTGAATTTCTGAATTTCTGAATTTCTGAATTTCTGAATTTCTGAATTTCTAAATTTCTGAATTTCTGAATTTCTGAATTTCTGAATTTCTGAATTTCTGAATTTCTGAATTTCTGAATTTCTGAATTTCTGAATTTCTGGAATTCTATGAATTTCTGAATTTCTTAATTTCTGAACTTCTGAATTTCTGAATTTCTGAATTTCTGAATTTCTGAATTTCTGAATTTCTGAATTTCTGAATTTCTGAATTTCTGAATTTCTGAATTTCTGAATTTCTGAATTTCTGAATTTCTGAATTTCTGAATTTCTTAATTTCTAAATTTCGGAATTTTGGAATTTCTGAATTTCCGAATTTCTGAATTTCTGAATTTCTGAATTTTTGAATTTCTGAATTTCTGAATTTCTGAATTTCTGAATCTCTTAATTTCTAAATTTCGGAATTTCTGAATTTCTGAATTTCCGAATTTCTGAATTTCTGAATTTCTGAATTTCTGAATTTCTGAATTTCTGAATTTCCGAATCTCTGAATTTCCGAATTTTGGAATTTCTGAATTTCTGAATTTCTTGAAATTGAGGATTTCTTTAAAATCTGAATTTCTGAATTTCTGAATCTCTTAAGAATTTCTGAATCTCTTAATTTCTGAATCTCTTAATTTCTAAATTTCGGAATTTTGGAATTTCTGAATTTCTGAATTTCTGAATTTCTGAATTTCTGAATTTCTGAATTTCTGAATTTCTGAATTTCTGAATTTTTGAATTTCTGAATTTCTGAATTTCTGAATTTCTGAATCTCTTAATTTCTAAATTTCGGAATTTTGGAATTTCTGAATTTCCGAATTTCTGAATTTCTGAATTTCTGAATTTTTGAATTTCTGAATTTCTGAATTTCTGAATTTCTGAATTTCTGAATTTCCGAATTTCTGAATTTTGGAATTTCTGAATTTCCGAATTTCTGAATTTCTGAATTTTGGAATTTTGGAATTTCTGAATTTCTGAATTTCTGAATTTCTGAATTTCTGAATTTCTGAATTTCTGAATTTCTGAATTTCCGAATTTCTGAATTTCTGAATTTCCGAATTTCTGAACTTCTGAATTTCTGAATTTCTGAATTTCTGAATTTCTGAATTTCTGAATTTCTGAATTTCTGAATTTCTGAATTTCTGAATTTCTGAATTTCTGAATTTCTGAATTTCTGAATTTCTGAATTTCTGAATTTCTGAATTTCTGAATTTCTGAATTTCTGAATTTCTGAATTTCTTAATTTCTGAATTTCTGAATTTCTGAATTTCTGAATTTCTGAATTTCTGAATTTCTGAATTTCTGAATTTCTTAATTTCTGAACTTCTGAATTTCTGAATTTCTGAATTTCTGAATTTCTGAATTTCTGAATTTCTGAATTTCTGAATTTCTGAATTTCTGAATTTCTGGAATTCTATGAATTTCTGAATTTCTGAATTTCTGAATTTCTGAATTTCTGGAATTCTATGAATTTCTGAATTTCTGAATTTCTGAATTTCTGAATTTCTGAATTTCTGAATTTCTGAATTTCTAAATTTCTGAATTTCTGAATTTCTGAATTTCTGAATTTCTGAATTTCTGAATTTCTGAATTTCTGAATTTCTGAATTTCTTAATTTCTTAATTTCTGAACTTCTGAATTTCTGAATTTCTGATATTCTGAATTTCTGAATTTCTGAATTTCTGAATTTCTGAATTTCTGAATTTCTGAATTTCTGAATTTCTGAATTTCTGAATTTCTGAATTTCTGAATTTCTGAATTTCTGAATTTCTGAATTTCTGAATTTCTGGAATTCTATGAATTTCTGAATTTCTGAATTTCTGAATTTCTGAATTTCTGAATTTCTGGAATTCTATGAATTTCTGAACTTCTGAATTATTTTCTGCATTTCTTAGATTTACGGAATTTCTGAAATCCAGACTGAAGATATCTCTTGGTCCCTTTTTGCTCCGTTTTTCACCCGTTTTTGGTCAATTTTCAGTTAATTTTCGGCGCACTCTTAGTCCATTTTTGGTCCGTTTAAGACCAATTTGGCTCCAGAATTCCGAATTCGGAGGAGATTCTCAACTTCTGATAACTGAAATTAGCCGTTTTTATCTTATCACAGTTTCAATAATTTTGTTTAAAAACTGACTACTTTGGTTTCTAGATAACATCGCAATATAACAGATAGGGCGGGACATTCAAATTTTCAAAAAAAAAAAATAGTTCAAAATCTTCCATTGCACATCTCATAGAACTTCTCATCCACTGAGTACACATTGAAGACGTGACTGATTTCCACGTCTTCTTGGAATCGACGAGTGGCGCGCTGAAAATTTCAAATTTCAGAATTTCAGAGAAAAATCTGAAAGTTCCTACCTGTAACGCTGGAAGAAGGGACAATAAATTGGCCAATCTCATGGATGGATCCTCAATTCTCCTGTTATTTCTATAATAATACAGAATTTCCCTTTGTATCGCTTCTCGAATCCTTCTCGACAGTACTATACATTCTTCAGATTGTCCTTCGAGTCCTGCGAAAATCAAAATTCAAAAAATCCACGTTCTGAGCAATTGAGGAAACTCTAGAAAGTTTAGAAAGGACTAATTTTTTTTTGGATTTTGGAGACTTCACAATCTTGAGTTCAGATTTGAACTGAGCTCGTTCTAAGCTTCAAAATGAGCCCAAACACGGCTAGGCTCCGCCCATTTTGAATTTTCCATATGACACGCGACGCACGACCGCGACGCAGCGGAAAATTCAAAGTAGGCCCAGCCTAGTTGTGTTGGGGCTTATTTTGAAGCTCAAAATGCGCTGAGTATGAATCTGATGCTAAAATATCATAGTTTGGATTCTGGAATTGTAGATTTTAAATTTTCAAAAATACGTTTTTTTTTCAGAACTTTATAATGAGCATATTACAGTACCTGTATCAAAAAGAACCAACGAGCAAAGTGCAAAGAATTCCATTCGATCCACTTCATCTCTTAACATCGGATCCGTCACATTTCTACGATAATTGCTAAAAGACGATGCAAACATTCTGACGGCGTCTTCAGAAGACATCAGTTGACGTCCATCTGGATCATAATAGAAGGTTTCAGGGTGTGAGCAATCGATATAGTCTCCAGATGCCAGGTAGATGACGTCGTTGCGCTCTGGAAAATTCGGAGCATAAATTACCGTATTTTCTCTTTTTTCCGTCAACTTTAATCTCAATTATCTCGGTTCCTTCAAAAAATAATCACAAATTTCAACTGATAAAATACTGTTGATAATGTGATAAACAGTTTATCAGTTGGCAAAATATTGATATCTCTTAAAGGAGCCGAGATAATTGAGCTCAAAGTTACCGTACTTTCTTTGGTTGAAGTTCACCCAAGCAGTCAACTTTGAGCTCAATTATTTCGATTCCTTTGACAGATATCAAAAAGTGGTCAACTGATAAATTGATTATCATAATATTAGCATCATTTTATCAGTTGACAAAATTTTGATATCTCTCATAGAAATTGAAATAATTGAGTTTAAAATTGTCCCCCAAAAAACTCACTTTTCTCCACTGCGAAATGACCGCCTTGTAGAATCACAAATGGGAGGAAAAAGTTTCTGAATAATATTTTCTTCTGCTCCTTGGCTAAATCTGCGAATCCTGGGTACGAATTCAAAATCCAATCAGCTACTAGGTCACATTCCTTGGAACTCACTTGATTTGCTTCTTTATAAGTGACGGCTCGAGGGAGGCGGGGCTGAAAAAAAGGCCTTATTAAGAAACATATTCACTGAGGAGTTTTCTCACTAAGAAACATTCTCACTAAGAAAGATCCTCATTGTGAAACATCCAAACTAAGAGAAATACTTACTAAGAAAGACCTTTACTAAGAAAGATTCTCACTAAGAAGTTCTCAGTGAGAAAAATTAAATCATTAAGAAAAGTTTTCATTATGAAACATCGTCACTAAGAAAAACTCTTACTAAGAGAGATCCTGACAGTCTTACTAAGAAATGAAGACAAAATGGCTGAAGAACCAGTCCAAGGTAGTAAGCCAACCTGAAAAACACTGCTCCCATCCAACTGATGCACCACTTTCCTCACTTCCACCAATCTCGAATAATTGGAATCCAAAGTCATTAAAATGGGCATTCCACCTTCCTCAACACTTCCCAACGGACTTGTACTCGAACTCGACGGCGCGTAGCCAAAACCGAAACCCATGGGGTTGGAGGTACTTGCACATTCTACGTCGGAGCCACGTTTGCCATAGGAGTCTCGGAATTTTTGGACAGCTGAAAAAAGGATAAACTTCCTTATTAAGAAATGTATTCTGAGAATATTTTCCGAAAATGCCGAAAAAAACTTTTTTTAAAAATGTTATTAATTTAATTTTTGAAAGTTGTTTCTCTAATTTCGAGTGCTTAAAATAAAGTAGAAACTATCTTTAGATATAAAAATTACCTTCTTTTTTCATCCCAACATTCAGACACTTGGCATAGCGACATGCTCTACACATACAGCGGATAGCTGAAATTTGGTTTTTTTTTGGTTTTTTTTTTCAAACTTGTGGGATCTTACTGGATAAAATGTCACAATTCCCCATCCCACGACATCTGTATTCCTTGTGAAGTGCGACGGAACGACGGAAGAATGCGGCGCAGGCTCTGGAACAATTTTAATTTTGAAAAAAAAAAATTTAAAATTTAAAAAATTTTTAAATCCCAAATTTTTTTCCAACTTTTCCGAAAACTTTTCTAGAACAGTTCTATCTAAAAATTTCAAATTTCGAATCAAAATTTAGCTTACCGACAGGCTTCAGCTCCAAAATGAATACCATTCCCGACCTCTCCACAAACGCTACACGGCGGCTTTTCCGAACGTTGGCTCATCATGGCTTCTGAAGAATTTTAAAAAGAAGTTTCAGAACAATTTAAAACTCAAAAAGTAGCGGGAAAAACGATTAAAAATCGCGTTTTCCGCTAAAAATTGAGTAAAAACAGTCTTTTCAGACAAAAAATTCATTTTTTTTGGGAAATTCTAGGAAAATTCAAAAAAGTGCACACAAATCAATACGTTGGTACATATGTCAAAAGTGTACATACACACAGAAAAAGACTTTTTCTCGGCACCAAGTTGCCCCTTTCGCCGTCACTATGTGACTGGAGAGCGTGAGAGAGTGTGCGGAAGGGGGAGACGCAGACAGTTGGAGACAAAGAGAGATTGGCAGGTAGATGGACACAGAATGATGACAAATAGATAGTATTTCTGGTTTTTTGGTCAGCAGTTTTATTCTTTTTTCGGGTCTCTTGTGATCAATGAAATATGGTCAAAGAACATGGTGATAGCGGTAAAAATTTCACCATTTAAAGGTGCATACTGTTAATAGAACGTCCCCCCCCCCCAAGCCGTTAACTTTGAGTTTGTATATCTCACTTCCTTTAAAAGATATAAAAGATTCGTCAACTAATAAAATGTTTCTGATATTATGATATAAAATTTATCAGTTGACCACTTTTTGATATCTTTTACAAGAACCGAGATAAATCGGCTCAAAGTTAGGGGTAGTATTCTACTGGGCGAAAAGGACCTTTGACCTTCCAACAGATTAGGATCTTTTAAGGGAATACATAAAGAGGACTTTTAGATTAGATACTAAATTTTTTTGGAATCTTGAAGTATCTGAATTTCTTAGTGAGGATCTTGCCTAGTGAGAATCTTTCTCAGTGAGAAAAGATCTCAGTGAGGAAATTTCTTATTGAGGATCTTTCTTTGTAAGAATATTTCTTACTAGGGAAGGTTGTAACTGGGGTATGGGAATTCGATGTCTCCTCAATCGTCAATTCGCCTTCTTTGGTTTGGTCTAGAAGATTGCATAGGACTCTAGCTAATTTCTTCTCTTGTCTTGAAACCACTGGAGCATCAGGAATTTTGATGGAATAGTTTTTGACAAGTAAAAAAAGGACATGTGATATGTTTAATACCATGTCGAGGAATAAGTATGAAGAATGATAGCCAATCGATGTTTGTCATTCATCGGAAACATTTTGAGATATTTTTCCCGGAAAAAATTCAGAAGTTAGCGCTGCAGAATTAAAAAAAATCTTCAAAAAAATTTAAAAAACTTATACAACATTTTCAGACTTCCAGAGGGATCAGAAAAAAAAACACAAAAAATTATTGGGGGGAGGAGGGGTCGAACCTATGGCTTGTCAGATATTGCCCTTCCCTCCTCGCCACTACACCACACTTCAATGGTTTCCTCCCTTCTCCCAATGCGTATAAAAAAGAGGGAAGATGAGGCGCTCGGCGGACTCAAATTTGAGCCAAATTTCAAACCTGTTTTTCTCGAAACTGGTAAGCTCGCAGCAAAATCTGAATATAGATTTGAAAATGTCTCATTCTCAGCTTTCGAATGGTATAGGTCTCTTATCGAATTTCCATACCCCAGTTACAACCTTCCCTAGTTAGTTAGAATATTTCTTAGTGAATATCTTTCTTAGTAAGGATATTTTTCATTGACGATCTTTCTTAGTAAGAATCTTTCTCAGTGAGAAAATTTCTCAGTAGTATTTTTCTTAGTAAGAATGTTTCTTAGTGAGCGTTTTTGTTAGTAAGGATAGATTTGGTTTAGTTTAAAATTGAGGAGTAAAAAAAACGTTTTTTATTCAAAAATAATTCTTTCTATACAACAGAAACATTGTTTCTAAAAAAACCGGGAAAATTAGAAAAATACAAATAAAAATGTTGGTCATGGCAGAGACAAAAAATATGGAAAAAGGAGAAACATTTTCTATACAAATCTAAAATACACAAATTTTCAAATCCAATTGTGATAATTTGATCAATTATACATCTGATATACTATTACATGGCGAAGTGGTTGGCATGAAAATGGCAATTTCATAAGGTGGTGGGGGTTCTGATGGGCGACCGCATATCCACATGTCGGATGCTATTGATTCGCTCATTATTGTTTCTGGAAATGAGATTTGATTAGTTTCAATTAATTGACTTGAATTAATTGTCTTTAATTTCAAAACTTTAAGAATCCAAAGTGGCCAAAAATCAACAAATTCAGGAGTTGGGGCCAGAATCATTATGTTTCAGAACTTAGAAAAATCCAGAATTTCAATGATGTTTTAGAATTAAGATGAAAAATGAGAAAATAAAATATTCAAAAAATTTTGAAATTTCTTAAATTTTGAACAATTTCAAAAATAGATTTTTTCGCAACTTCTAGAATAATTAAATTTATAACAAATTGGATTTTTTTTTCAAATTTGAGAATATCTTAATTTTCAGATTATCTTAATTTTCTGAATTTCTGAATTTCTGAATTTTTGAATTTCTGAATTTCTGAATTTCTGAATTTCTGAATTTCCGAATTTCTGAATTTCTGAATTTTGGAATTTTGGAATTTCTGAATTTCTGAATTTCTGAATTTCTGAATTTCTGAATTTCTGAATTTCTGAATTTCTGAATTTCTGAATTTTGGAATTTTGGAATTTCTGAATTTCTGAATTTCTGAATTTCTGAATTTCTGAATTTCTGAATTTCTGAATTTCTGAATTTCCGAATTTCTGAATTTCTGAATTTCTGAATTTCTGAATTTCTGAATTTCTGAATTTCTGAATTTCTGAATTTCTGAATTTCTGAATTTCTGAATTTCCGAATTTCTTGATTTCTGAATTTCTGAATTTCGGAATTTTGGAATTTCTGAATTTCTGAATTTCTGAATTTCTGAATTTCTGAATCTCTGAATTTCTGAATTTCTGAATTTTGGAATTTCTGAATTTCTGAATTTCTGAATTTCTGAATTTCTGAATTTTTGAATTTCTGAATTTCTGAATTTCTGAATTTCTGAATCTCTGAATTTCTGAATCTCTGAATTTCTAAATTTCGGAATTTTGGAATTTCTGAATTTCTGAATTTCTGAATTTCTGAATTTCTGAATTTCTGAATTTCTGAATTTCTGAATTTCTGAATTTCTGAATTTTTGAATTTCTGAATTTCTGAATTTCTGAATTTCTGAATCTCTTAATTTCTAAATTTCGGAATTTTGGAATTTCTGAATTTCCGAATTTCTGAATTTCTGAATTTCTGAATTTCTGAATTTCTGAATTTCCGAATTTCTGAATTTTGGAATTTCTGAATTTCCGAATTTCTGAATTTCTGAATTTCTGAATTTTTGAATTTCTGAATTTCTGAATTTCTGAATTTCTGAATCTCTTAATTTCTAAATTTCGGAATTTGGAATTTCTAATTTCCGAAG